CACTTTTGAGCTAACTGCAATTACTCTCTCATACTCGAAATGTGCCACGACCAAATTGGCACAACGACGCCCTATACGCTCTCTGACCGAAGCGCAGGGTGTGATTCAAAATGTCGTGTTGGGTTGTAAAACAACGCGGAAGATTTTTTCGATTACCGCGAGTGAACAAACCGGTCCTTTTTCGGAGGCAGAATTTGGTGAGATCCATCTGATTTATAATCAATCATAAATGCATATTTCCATATGTTACTAAATACGCGCCAGATTTCGAAACATCACATTTCGAAATCTGGAAGTGTTTTTGCAGTACCATTATTCATATGATAACGGTAGTGTTTACATGCGGGGCTTATTGTACGTGAAAGTAACCTCGGAATGGACGTGAATTACCAGGCATTCTGAAATGGGTTGCTGAACCTGCAGTAGAGCTATCGCTTTCTAACTCCCGGACTAAACTTGCTTTAAATTATTACATCAAGGATTGTTGTAAGCAAATTTCTTCCATAATTCCACTGCCGGCCAGTGGGGATTAGATTGAATACACACACATACACATACAGCACTAGCTTTCCTTTAGTTCCTTTATGTTTCCGTGACATTTTCGATCATATCTCAAAAATGGTAAGACATGCCACTCTGAAATGTTCACCAGTGAAAGATATGAAGTATTGAAGCATGAAAGAAATTATGGTGGGTCATTATTTGTATTTATCAATTGTACAGACTGTTGATAAACTAATTAAACGCTACTAATTAATGATATAAACATCATTTTAGATTGACCAGGGTCTTAAAGGGAGTACACATCATTGAAGCTTTTCCAACAACGGTTTAACGGGATGTTCTGACCGTAGTTGGTGCGATGCCTTGGTAGCCACAGTTATGGTTGGCTACAAAGCCTTCTTGCCGGAACATTGAAGTTAATACTACACATCAGGTCGGGGCAATCAATATTGCCAGAGATAATGTCGAAAACAAACAACAAAGTCTTTCTCCATGATAGAGTACTCATTTCGATGAGTTGGCATATATCCACGTAGGGAGGATGTTGTTGTGCGTCATTCCAAGGGGGACCTTTTTTCTGAACCCGCTCAATATGATCGCTCTAAGTGGCATGGTGAGGAGCCCAAGCTTGGACGTCCAAAATACTCCGAACGAGAGAGAAGAACATCATTTTTATCAAAATCAGCAAAAGTATGCTGAATAAAACCTAGCATTGCGAATAATTTTGCGGTAATAGCAGAGAATCTCATCAGATGTGTTCAGCAACTCATAACTCCTTCTAGTGGGTGTTTGAGTCTGATAATCAAAGCACAGCGGAGAGCGAGTCCTGCAGAAGCTGATGATTTTTAATTTGCTGGCATTCGCTTCCATACCGTTTAAATTACATCAGTTTTCGAGTCAACGCAAGTCATCCTGCATGGCAGCGCAATCCAAGGCGGATGATAACTCGATATAGCTTCAAGTCATCAGCATACATTAGTTTACCGAAGTGAAGGAGCGAGCACATATCGTTGATGAATAATATGGAGATTAGCGGTCCACGAGGACTTCCTTGAAGGAACATCTGACGACGCAAGAAATGATCTGGATTTGTGTGGGTCAATCTTAACATACGCAGATCTGCCACAGAGGTATGAGCAAAGCCATCTGATGAACCAGATGGGGAGGCCTAGGTGGTCAAGTTTCTGTAACGCCGTTTCCTGACGAACGCTTATATCAAAATATCAAATCTAGTTTTCATTCTGTTTTCATTCTCTGATCGGGTATAGCTTGGTGAGGTATAAAAGCAAAATATTATATTAGTTTCCTATGATTTTTGCTATTGTTTAGATATGCCAACAACTAACTATGACTACCCGAGCAGAGAATGAGAACAAAATGAAAACTAAATATTTTGATATAAGCGTTCGTGATAACATATTTTGCTTACCGTGTGGTCGAGTTAACAGTAATCATAAGGAAAATGAGATCTAAATGGTATATGAAGGATATTATAAAGATAACAAATCATGTTTTCTTGATAGCAAATCCATGTATGCGTTTGAAATTAGTAATTTCGTTAATAATAAACAAAATATGTAATCAATTTGTTATGTTAACTATGGTAGGACAAAAATTATAAGTTATTATTTTGATATCATGATATCAAATTTAGTGATCTGAATGTTTTGAAATCTATTGGTTGATATAAAGATTCAAAATAAAAAAAAAATATTAAAAAGTTTTCATGTATTCAAAATAAAAACAAACCTATAGTTCAATCAGTTCTATCGATAATTATCACTTATATCGATTTCTAACAGTTATATCGACTTGTAAATTCAATTAGCTGGTAATAAATGTTGGTAAATATAACTTTAAAAATCAAAATTGTCTTTGTGATGTTCATAAACAAAACAGCAAGCATCCTGATTGACTCGTAAAAAAAAAATTAAAAAATAGATTTCAAAGATAAATGTGGATGCTCATTTTATAAAATATCAAATTTTGTTTTAAATTATATTTTTTAGAAATATAAAACTAATATCAGAATATTAATTCTACCGATATTTAAAAAATAGCTTGTCAAAATATGTTATCAATATCATTTCAAAAACATAATTTGATATGATTTTGATGGTATTTTGATATCCTACTTTGCTCGGGTTTCCTTTTTCTCAGTTATGGTCCCATAGATTTTTTGTTATTTTATCACTTACATCAATTAAACTAATAGCAATTATTGATATTCTGTTCCCAAATTTGAAAAAGTTAAAATAGCTATTGATTTGATATTGATGATTGTAACCGTCAACAATGTTGATGATGGTACATCACGCAACATCACCCTACTGCTTCTTTCTGAGATGACTACGTTGATGAATAGGTGGGTAAACAAGAGTTGCATTATAACACACCATTGCCTGGAAACGCTTTCGGCAATGAGGAGCTTTAGATAGTGATTAACGGTGCTAGAACTATTCCACAGCCGCAGACAATATACTGCCGCTCATCGCAAGTCGGTCCCTATTCCGTTTTTGTCAAAAATAAGTTTTTCAATGGAAGTGTTAGCAATGACCCTTATAATCGTTATATTGAACTCAACAACTTTGTTCTGGAAAAGTTTGGAAAAACAACCAAACGAATTGTCCCATCACATAAGATGCAATGGTACGAAAGTACTTAAGAGGAAGTTCACCGCTCCGAATTTTATTAAGACTATATACTATAAGATATTGAAAATCTTAAACAATCACATTTTTTTCTAATTTTTTAAAGAAAATTCGCGTGTAATTTTTTTTTTTAAAGTCATCATGGCTAAAGTTGTGCTCAAAAACCACAAAACATCGAACTTTCGGTTTTGCTGAAAGCTCAATTATTTTTCATAAAAAGATAGAAAAAATATTTTTGCATTTTATTTTTTTCGAGAATCAAAGGAAGAAGCTGATTTTTTTAGTTTTATATATTTTTCCCAACATTTTTAGAAAAATAAAAACGTGCCGAAATGATTGTTATATTTTCGGGGCGCTAAACTTCCACTTAAAACGTATTTTTCTTGGTTTTCTGATTTGTGATATGCGGCGGACTTGCCATGAGCGGCAGTATATATAAGTCAAACGCGTACTCTTTTGCCTGTGGATTTGAGGACATGCCTCAAATCCCCTGATCCATCAATGTATGCATTAGGCGAAGGAGTGCACGTGTGATTAGTATTGTCGAATTAATAACCTTTCGCTCAATGTCAACTTCTTTTAAATTTTCATACTGCCGTACTATAGCGGAACTAACAATCAATTCTCTTCAGAACTTCCTCTGGCTAATCTATTATCGCACTTAAACTACATGTTTATATTAGTAAAGCATTTCCTCACAACTCTGAAAATCTTAAACTTCCCGTATGAAGTAGCAAAACACTTTGATTGAAAGTTGATATTCTCGTCCTACCAGGCAGGTGCATGTTAAAAATAGTACCTGAACATTATTCCCATAATTACATCGACAGTGAAATTTAAAATAAATTATGAGTCAATTTGCAAGGAGGATTTTGCATTGCACCCAACCTGATGAAATAAAAACAGCCTACGGTAACTGTAAATAATCATAGAACCCTTAATTTACACACGACAACGGAGCCTTCGCAAGCCAGCGCTAGGTACATCGACGCACAAATAGCTTTAACTTCGTTCTCTTTTCCCAATCGTCGTCCTTAGTTTGGTCAAGCGGCTATTCTCTGCCGGCCCTAGCGTGTCCAATTTTAAAATATCCACTCTTTTTATTACAATAGTCATGCCGCAAACAACGACCTACCCTTTAACGTGTGTACACTTTGACGATCCGACTGTGTCGAACTCTTCTCCACAGAAGGTGAAGAATTGCTTACTCAGAAGGTTCTTTTCGTCTCTCCGGACCAGGCATGGAAAATTGATGATAGCGTAGAAATGTTTGATTACATAGCTGGGCATGGGTTGCCAAAGTAGTAGCTACCGTGCTCGTGCTGCTGCTGTGGTAGGCTGAGTGAAAGGATGAGAATATTTTGACTGTCTGGTGAACCTGTCAAGTGCTTCCTAGTAGAGGCCATGCGAGGTGAACGGTTCAAGCTCGTGTTAATCACTTTTTAGTTAAAAGTTCATTATGTACAGCGTTCATTGGCGCTAGTTAAATTATCAGTGATTGACTTTTTCTTTGCATACAGATTGTTACGAAATCAGATTTTATCACTCGAAATGACATTTAAGTGATATTTAACGATCAGATGAAGACTTTCCTAGTTCAATTTTCACATCGACAAATTTGAATATCTTTCCTTCGATGTTACCGTTGAATATTACCGCGAAAAGATCGTTAGATCACACACTGCACTATCAAATGTCCCATAGTGGCGGGGGAGGGTGACCGCGTTTGAATAAATCAACTCTTCCACTTCCAGATGATTCGGTCATGTCCCAAAATCTGTATAAAACCACCGGCCAGCATCTCAAAAGATATCAGTCTCACAGAGTTTTCCGTTTACATATCATCTAGTCCGTTAAGCTTCTTCAGGTTTGAAAATGTACAAGAAAGTGGTGAGTCGACAACTTAATAAATTTTCCTAGCAGCAGCGAAACGAAACGGTGCCGAAAAGTTAATTCCGCGATGAATTTGCCGGTGCAACGATTCGATTAGCATAATATTAGCACAAATAAAGTTAGCTCGAACCGATATATCATCAACCTGTTGGAAAAGTGCAAATGAGATGAACTGTGTTTGTGACATTTCCAACATGTGTTGGAAATTATCCAATATGAGTGTGGTAACATTTTCGTGTAAAATGTTAATTGATTCGTTGTTAATGATGCATTTTTGAAAATTTGTAAATGGAAAAACGAGGTCGTTTAATCAACCTGTGTCTCCTCCTAACAGTTCTTTGCCTCATTGGTGTTAGCCATGGCCATGGCTGCTCCACCAAAGGAATCATCAGACGTACGAGTTGTCCGAGATGCTGCCCGTAGTGGAATGGATGCCGATGCTACCGTCCATACCCAGGATCAGATCATCAACGGTGACGGTAGCTATGCGTACAACTACGAAACTAGCAACGGAATACGGGCCAACCAGCGAAGCGACAACGGCATCGACGCCAACGGGGAATTCTCGTTCGTTGCTCCGGACGGTGTCGAATACCGGGTGACGTACGTTGCCGATGAGAGCGGTTTCCAGCCACAGGGTGCCCATCTTCCGGTAGAACCTCCAGCGCCAGATCACGTGATCAGGATGCTGGAGGATCTGCGTGCTGCCAACAATCCTGATTTTGATATCGGCAATCTGGACGCTACCATTGCCCGATTGAAGGCTACTCAGGGGTAAAGTCGAGGCTAAGGCTACACCAATGGCTGTGCGATGGTGCGTTGTTTCACATGGGGTGGAACTTTGTACATATTTCAAAACATTAGATACGGAATGATTAGTGTAATGCGTGTAGGTTCTAAGTGTGTACATAAATGAGAATATTTAAAAAATGACATGCCGAGCGTATTTTTATTGCAGATTTGAAGGGTCAGTGAATCAGTGAGTTGAAGTTGAAGCATAAACTGCCGTTTTTATTAGTGACTTGGCCAATTTTAGGCCTTTCGTTGAACAACTTCGACAGATTCTCTTGGAGGAGTTACACCATGGAATCCACATATTTGATGGACTATAACCGGTTTGATCCCTCGGGAACTCCAACACGAAATCAGCTGTCAAAAATCACCGTTTACAGATAATTATATAATTTCTCCATCAATGTTGTTCTACAATAGGGTAGAGAACTACTTCGGCCTAATCACCCATTTTGGGCCTATCGAGCAGAAAACTTCAAATAACTCCATGATTTCAGAGTAAACAAGTCAATTATGCGTTTGGTACGATGCTTTAGTTAATAAGCTACGGAACGAAGTCAATGAGAACGCGTGATATGAATGTTTGCACCCATTGCTCTCAAAATCAAAAGAAGCGCTCCGACCGAATCAATTTTTATCTTCATCCGATAGGCCGAAGTGAATTCAAATGTGTTTGAATGGCGTTTCAATGCGTTAGGCCGAATTTAGAATCCTTGCAACAGCTAAAAAGCAAAAGAAGTTTTGGCTGTACTTGACGGTTTCGACCCTTCAGCATGAGCAACTCAAATCGAAAAGCTCGTCAAGGATAATCTCGACACTGATGATGACATTGAAGTAACTAAGTTAGTTCCCAAAGGCAAAAATCTTAACGAACTTACTTTTGTTTCCTTCAAAGTCGGAATTGGTTTGCAGCTGCAGGAACAAGCCCTCTTTGGATCGACGTGGCAACAAGGAATAATATTTCGTCCATTCGATTCCAAGCAATCATCGTCGGATCGGCCTATTTTTCGCTTCGGACTCACAACACAGTAGTTCACTGGGCGCCCTAGATATCGGTGCAGCCTCACAGATGATCAGCTGTTCAACTGATATGGCAATAACCACAACAACACAGTCCCGAAACACAACCACTCCTTTACATCCAGACTCCACTGATAGACAGCAACAATTCACTAACAATATACATTGTACGTCCACGCTGTACAACCAGAATGTACGTGGGTTACGCACCAAAACAAACCAAGTACTGCTAGGGGAAACGCTCCTATAGTTGCGGTACGTTAGAAGCGTTAGGTTCCTATAGTTGTGTATGGAGACTCAATACACAACTATAGGAACCTAACGCTTCTAACGTACCGCAACTATAGGAGCGTTTACCCTAGCACTATCCCAATCTGACTACGATGTGATAGCTTTCACCGAAACCTTTCTCGGTGCTGATATTTCAAATTCTGAATTATCACACAACTATATAATCTATCGCTGTGATCGCAACGCCAGAACAAGCCAATTTCGACGAGGTGGTGGTGTTTTGGTCGGCGTCCTGTATAATAATTTATTTGATAAGGCTCAACCGAATTAACTTAACAGAGCCGAGGATTCATGGTCACTATACAATACATCTTAAAGCTATAGTCAAAAGGTACAACACAATAAACACTTTATCTTCCGCTATCCAAAAAGCCTCCTCCATCAGAACTGGAGCCGCTTCCAGTAGTTTCATTGTATGGCAAATTGTTGTACGCCAACGAGGGTCAGAGCGCGTCCATTGCAGCAATGGACGCAAAACGTGGTCAGCACTCACACACTCATCACGAAACGGTTGCTTTCCAAAGTCGACGACGCATCGACCGAAAGAACTGCTGATGAAGAACAATCAGGAGGACCACACAATGGTTGCTGCCGAGTAAACAGACGATCGCGTAGCACACATCGAGAGTGGCCTGCTTTTGTCGACAGCCGAGTGAACACTGATTGGTCGGCGTCCGTAATGCATTGAACAGTGCCGCTGTTTCGATTGCTGGTACCGAGTGTCTGGAGCAAATAATCGTTCGGATCAAGCTGCCTACATTTGAACTCTTCGTCTGTTGTATTTATCTTCCTCCCAACAGCGACAATGCATTGTATGAACAGCACTGTTCATGTGTTCAAAGACTGATGGATCAAGCGGGTGATCGTGGTTTGGTTGTTGTTGTTGGTGACTACAATCTACCCTTCTTGAATTGGGACCATGATGATGAATTGCGATGTTTGCTAGCTACAAATACGTCTTCTGAGCAGGAGTTCACTGTGGTTGAATCGTTCATCGCTAATGGTCTGCATCAGTTGAATCATTATGGTAATGCGAATGGAAGGATACTAGATTTGGTTTTCTCTACTGATATCAATGTACTCGAGCTTGTGCAGCCCCCGTCACCCCTACTGCGTGTTGATGAACATCATAAACCATTGGTGCTTGTGATTGAAACTGCAAGCGAATGTGAAATTTCCCGAGCAACTGATCCGTTAGATTATGACATCAAGCGATGTGATTTTGCAGTTTTGAGCTCAATGATTTCGGACGTCGGATGGGTGAATCTTCTAATTGGTTGCAGTGTCGACGAAGCGGTATCGATATTCTACGACAAGCTTTATGGAATCATCAGCGAAGTTGTGCCTCTAAAACAACGGATCGACACCCACAGGAAGAAACAACAATGGTAGAAAAGTCCGCATCGTGCTCTCTTGCCGTGCGGATCTATTTGCTTTTTGCTGAAGGAAGTGTTACTACTACCTAAAGCTACAACAAATTTAAACAGCACTTTTCAGTGCTCAACCTGTAAAAATTTTCTACCTTGTTCAACTCTTATTCCTCTTCGATCCTTGTTTGGACCCTACCCGAGGTAATCCTTCTTGGATATCGATTTGGAAAATTCCTCTTCGATCCTTCAGATTCTTATAGTAATCTGCTTGGAAGTCGATTTGGATAAAAATTTACTGCCGCCATGGCGCCTAAACGCAAAAGAAAGGGGCAAACTCTTGACCCCCCTTCTGATGAAATTAATTTGAGTAATCAATTTGATTTGCTCACGGATGATGAGAATGATCCATCATCCAAGAAAAATTCTAGTAAACTTTCCCGGCTTAATGCCAAGAAGGAAAAGATTCCCCCTATTGTGATAACCACTACCGATTTCCATGCTCTTCGCATGGAACTTTTGAATTTCGTGAAAGTTAAGTTTTCACTACAAATTGGACGTCGGGGTGAATGCCGTGTATTGGCTGAAACCTTGGACGGATTTAAATGTCTTCTCAAGTATCTTACTGAGAAGAAGCACAAATTTTTTACTTACGACACCAAAACTGAACGTGTGTTCAAGGTTGTCATGAAAGGACTGCCCAGTGGTGAATCCCTGGATCAGATCAAAGATGAACTGGCAAAATTACTTGGAGTTGTGCCACTCCAAGTAATCAAAATGAAAATGAAATCCCGTCCTGGCGATTCGCGCAACGGGATTTCTAATGATTTTTATTTAGTTCACTTCAAGTCTAGTGAACTAAACAACCTTAAGGCCTTAGAAAAAGCTAGCCTTATGCTCCATGTCCGAGTGAAGTGGGAACACTTCAGGAAGACTGGAGGAAATTTCCAAAACCTCACCCAGTGCCGTAAGTGCCAGGGATGGGGTCACGGAACTAAAAATTGCTACATGCCAGCTAAATGCATGAATTGTGGTGATTCCTCTCACGCAAAGGACGACTGTCCTGTGAAGGAAGATCCTAAGAAATTTAAATGTTCAAATTGTGGTGAAAACCACAAATCCAATTTTTGGGAATGTAAGACTCGCAAAGCGATCCTACAATCTCGTTCTAACCGTCAGGTAGGAAACGCTCCACGTTTCCGACCAGGTACAAATTCCTCTGCTGTTAACAACGGTCAGCGAGGAACAAATTCTACATTCGTACCCGTAGGTACAAATATCTCCCCTGCTTCAAATGTTTCATCTGTACCTACTCCCCTCGCTGCTAACAATGTTCAGCGAGTTAATGGAGCTACCTATGCTGCTATTGCAGCGGGTAGAAATCAAAATACTAACCAACGTTCTAACGGAAATTTTGACAATTTTGACTTAGGAAGCATTACTGCCCCCAAAATGGAATTTTTACAGAATTCATTAATTGACATGATTTCTGATATGCTTAAATCTAACTCCATGTTTGATGCTATTCAAACTGGAGTAAAATTTGCAAATAATATTGTCATGACTTTAAAATTCAGTAATGGATTTTAAAGCATTAAATATTGTAAATTGGAATGCTCGATCTCTTAAAGATAATGAAGACGAGCTATTAAACTTTTTGAGAGTTCATAACGTGCATATTGCCGTTATAACTGAAACGTTCCTTAAACCTGCCCATAAGGTTAAGAAGGACGCAAATTACTTGATTTATAGAAATGATCGTCTTGATGGACCCTGTGGTGGCGTTGCCATCATTATTCATAGACGAATCAAACATAAAATTCTTTCTTCATTTGAAACCAAAGTTTTTGAAACTTTGGGAGTTTCTGTTGATACAAAATTTGGACAACTTACGTTTATAGCTGCCTATTTGCCATTCCAATGCGTAGGCCAGCAAAAGAATTTTCTCAAGGGTGACCTCCAGAAACTTACCCGTCATAGGTCTAAATTCTTCATTATTGGTGATTTTAATGCAAAACACCGCTCATGGAATAATGCTCAAAGCAATTCCAATGGTAATATTCTGTTTGATGATTGTTCTGCAGGTTATTACACTATTCAATATCCAAACAGCCCAACATGCTTTTCTTCTGCAAGAAATCCCTCCACTATTGATTTGGTCTTAACTGATTCATGACAACTTTGTAGCCAATTGGTTACCCATGCTGACTTCGGTTCTGATCACCTTCCAGTAACTTTTGAAATATCCCAAGAAATAATTTGTAATCCCAACAGCTCTACTTTCAATTACCATAGAGCTGATTGGGAG